CATAACCCTCTCAGGATGACCTCATCCCTCCCCCTTTGTGATGGCCTTAACACAGTGTCGTCCTTGGTAGCATCTGCCACTGACCTAACCCCGCTCCGCCCCCCCCCCCCAAAGGATTCCTTCAGAGGTGATGTGCCATTGGAATGGGAGGGGCATGGGGCATGGGGGGCAGGTGTGTCTGTGTGTGTGTGTGTGTGTCTGCATGCACTCTTGGCAGGAGGTGGTGAGTAAATGTAAATGTAGGATTTCCCCCCCCCCCCCCCCACCCACCCACTGCTACAGTCCTGCTCCAACACGCTACATGCTTGATCCTATACGCTTCACGCTCCCTCGCACATGCAGTCATGCACACACTCACATGTTGCTCCTCAAACTTGCCCCTTTCAGTCTGACAAACGAGAACCCCACCTTTGCCTACTGTGCCCCCCCACACACAAATACACACGTAAATACATACACATTCTGTATTAGACTTTACATTACCCTCCCCCCCCCAAGAAACCAATCTGTTGCACCCTCCTGTTCTTGGTGCTGTCTTGTATACTAACTACTACCTGTCCAGGCACTCAACCTGCCCCCCCACCCCTAAACCTGCACCCCAGCCTCTTACACTGCTAAGCCCCCCCATGTGTGTAATCATTGGCATAACAAAGGCACGTGAAGACTTGCAGGGGGATTAACATGGGGGGGAGGGGGATTGACAGGTGTTTAAATAGAGGTGGCCGTGTGTGTGTGTGTGTGTGTGTGTGTGTGTGTGTGTGTGTGTGTGTGTGTGTGCCTAATGCGTGTACTCCCCAGCATCATTGCCACACCCCAGTGGCCGTTTGGACCGAGCAGCGTCACTTTCATCAATGAAATCGCTCACTATGCCCCACCAAGCAGATCGCTGCAGTTCTGCAAAGATTGGGTCGCATGACCAGATGCACTGAGCACCATATGGCTCTGAACTGCAGCACACAGTCCTTTGAAAGTTTGCCTGGTCAGTCACCATGGTTAGTTTTATATGAAAACTATTATTACTATTGAAAGAACAAATGTAATAACAGTACAGTATTGCAAAAGAAGAACTTTTTTGTTGATTTAAAAGAAATCATCCAAACTATACTTTAATTCATATTCACAGCAAATTTGTGAATGAACTTCAAAATGACCGTTTGTTACGTTTTTTGCGGTTGCGTATTGCCATCTGCTGGTGATTACTTAAACTACAATAATATGCGTAAAAGTGTTTCAATAATGTCATGCTATCGCTTTGGCTTGACTTGACTGAGCTGTTAATCTGCTTAATTTAATAACCAGGTGACTCACCTCTCATTATAATCAAATGAGACTCAATGAGAATATTTCCAAAGAAAATTCCGTACCAGAAGTCGTCACTATCCAGTCAGTACCAATAGACGCTCACTTAATGTAATCGTGGATATTGCGGAAACAAGGTAACTTCCCAGTTCCCGGCCGTAAATCCGTGATGAAAACTAAAAACAGAAATGTCATTAATACGCTTTATTGTCATTTGTAGAATATGTCAAGGTATAGGAATGTCTATACAACATAAATTTACAGGAAGAAATACAACATTTTACAGACACTTTTTATATATTATGTGATGCAGAAGACTCAACCAACAACATAGACAAGTATCCACAGGGAAAGGTTATCGCTTTGAACAAAACAGTTCATACTCCATCTGTATGGGCATAAGTTGTTTTACCAAGGTTCTTAGAAAAGTATATCAAAAATATCACTGCGTCATTTTCCTAGTTTTTCGTTATTTTAATATGCAGCAGAATATATATAAAGGAGTATCGTATTTTTAACAGTTTTGCAAGAAACCTAAAGGAGTTCTGCTTGCGAAGGTTGTTTCTCCTCAAATGGTCAAATGTTACAGGTTTTAAACCCGCAAAGATTATACATTGTGTTTATGTAAATGTATAGTAATTTAAGGATGAAAAATCTCAGTATCATTAATACGAAGCAGAAAAATAGAATTGGGAGTGATTTAAATGGCAAAACTTTCATTTGTCGTTTATTTACAGACTTCTTCAGCTTACAAAACAGCTAACCATAAATTAATTTACATTTAATCAGGGTCAGTATAACTCCTCAATGGAGGAAGCTGGCACTAAATACAAATCTGTGTAATAAAATATATCTGAGAATTGAATACATTTAAAACTTTTTTATTCGACACAAAGGGTATGTTGAAAAGGATATATACTATTTGGAACGCAGCAAACAGTCACTAATGTATCAAAGAGATAAAAATGCTTATTTACCTATAACATTATAATATCTCATCTTATTGGACATTTGATTTCTATTTGAGAACAATTGTACGATTACGTGACCGGATGAAAAGAGGGTTCGTGTTAAAAATTTCACTCGTGAAAAATACAAGAAGGCATCAAAAGACAAATGGTAGTTAAGAGTGACGAATGTCTGAGAATTAGTTTTACAATCTGACACTTGATATAAATATCTGATCTGAGTAAGTAATTCGCCTCAATAACCAATTATTGTATTCAAACAAGAGAACGTGATTACGGAGACAAATATATGTACTTCCTCTATGCACATATTATATAGCAAAATAATGGTTAATTAGCATGTGTAATTTGATTTAAAGAGACAGCAATCACAACGGTAACCATGTAGGCCTAAGTCCTACGCACCGATTCCGAAAAGGGACAGAGACGAGAAGCCCGGCCTGGTTCGGGAGGGGTTGTTCGTAACGGGCAAACCGTGCGGGAATCGGTTATAAAAACGGGCATAACGGCTGCAACGACAGGACACCGGGAAGACGGCAAACCAGAGCTACAACTGTCGACCGATCACACACACACAACACACACACACACACAAGTTTTTACACCCTTAAAAAGAGAGGGAAGGTGCGGCTTAGAAATTCACACGGGAAAGGGCAGTGGTATTGGAGGCACAAACCTGTCTGAGAGCGAGCTAAGGGGTGTAACAGGGTCCAGTTTTTTAAAAAGACAATATTAATACAATTACGTCAAAAAGAGACGTGACAGAAGGTGTGAGGCATGGTATACAGTGGTACAGATAAAAATAATAAATACATACTTTGAATTATATTCTCTGTCTTTTAAATATATCCCTTTATAGTGATGTCATAATACAACCAGGTTCCTCTCGTGGTCCCTCAAAAGCTGTCTTTTTTATTTGTGGGGGTGTCACCATTGCAGGTGGTCGACAAAGCCCAAAGTGCGGGGTGGGTGGGGGGGTCGTGGCTGGGCCTGGATCTACTTGCTCTTCTGGGAGCCGATCATCACCTTGGAGACGAAGTTGACGATGGCACTGGCTGGCTGTTCCGGGTCATGCTCGGCAAACACGTGGCAAACGTTCTCGGTGCTGCTGCCCGTCTTCCGGGCCACGAAGCCGAAGATCCTGGAGGGAGACCAACGTGTGCAAAAAAGATGCTCAGTGGAGATCAATGTCTCAGTATTTACATGTCATACACAGTATCAGTCAAAAGTCTGGACACGCCTGTTTGTACTATGTTTGTCTCTATTTGAGCTATGAAATATTCACCTTATACTGAACGGCCTTGAGGCAATGAAGTACAGGCAGTCCCAAGGTTACACACAAGACCCATTCCCTAAGTCTGCCTTTAAGTCGAATGTGTAGGTAAGTCGGAACAAGAATACAGTAAATGATAATAATTATGCAGTAATACTAAAAGTAGCCACATACAGTATTGTACTGTATCTTGAGCTGTTTAAATACAAACGACTGTATTTAAAACGAATTTGTAATATGATAAGGTTTACAGCAGCCCGTTTGTAAGTACGAGTTATCTGTAAGTTGACGTGCTTAACCCAGGGACTGCCTGTAATGCATGTCAAATATTGCAACGACCAAGATGACTTTAGACTTTTCAAAATAGCCCCTTTTGCTATGATGACAGCATTGCAGACTCTTGCCTTTCTTTCAACCAGCTTCCAGATATAGCCACCTGGGATGCTTCTCCAACAGTCCTGACTGAGTTTCTACAAGTTCTGGGCACAAATTGGCTCCTGTGCTCTTACTCTTTAATCCAACACATCCAAACCAGCTCTATAAAGCTTAGGTTCTGGGATAGTGGGGGCCAGGTCTCCCGTTTTTTCTTATTCAAAAGAGAATACTGACTATTTAGCTTTGATGAGCTTAGTCTCTTTCTTTCTTTCTTTCCTGCAACATTTTTCTGGTTCACATTCTTAGGGCGCCTTCCCACTGCAGCATGCACCGTGCTTCTCATCCTTCAGAAAACTACCAAACCTACGGGGGTCACTTCAGGTTGTTGCATACAATTCTCACATAATTGCATATAATTCTCACATCGTAAGGACCGCAACATTCAGCTTGCTTGAGATCAGGCTTTTTCATATCATCATACCATAAAGACATTATAGCGTGGGGAGTTTCACTAAACCATTTTTACTCTGTCATAGGAAACAAAACTTAGCAAGAATTGCAATTTTAATGATTGTTCCTTTATCTAATATATGTTCTAAAAAATCACTTTAAATTTTACTGCCGCTGCTTTTGCATGAGCTTTGCATGCATTCTCTGATCATTTTCACCCTTGCAGTTTATATCACTCAGACGGGTTAGTGAGAAGTAATTTTTTTCCTTTTTGCTTTATAAATATCCCTATTATATTACAGCAATTTTTACATTTTTTGTCATGTCATCCAGATCTTGATTCCTCTGACCAGGGGGGTATTCCACAAAGCAGGATTAAGGGAAAGTCTGACTTATTTCGACAAGGCTGGCTCATTTAAGTGGGAGATCCATTCCATCAATATGTCTTAAATGAATCTCCGCTGAGCTACCATGGTAAGTTAGGTGAGTTAACAAGTCTGCTCCGGACCGGTGGCCTGTACTACGATCGAAGTGGGGTTACTGGCTTATCGGGGTAACTTGTCGGATTTAAGGTAGTCTGGGCAAAATATAAGTCCATTTAAACTGTGGTACCTTAAATCCGACAAGTTACCCCGATAAGCCAGTAACCCCACTTCGTAGTACAGGCCCCAGGTTAACTGTCTCGCTTAGTTTAGCGTTGTCTCAAAGAACGTCTGACGTGTGGGAACAGAGTCCCAAAAGATCGTTCCGTCAGACGAAATTCCGTGCTCTCACTACTCATGTTATGTAATCTGTTAAATTATGTGTCCTCATCTGTTATAATATTTTACATTATCTGATTGAATTATTTTGTTACCCTGTAAGGTGTAATGTAACTAAAATGATATGTCCCTATATATTTGATTTTACGACTTATATATAAAAATGGAACGGAACCCTGTAGTCGGTGCTGTGAGTAAAAGCAAGACGAGGAAGCAGAGAATAAAAACCATCTTTTCTGAAGTAAAGCTCTGCGTGATACTTCCATAATATGGAGAACAGAGCTGAGATTGCAACATAATCAATATAATAAAGCCGATAAAAATCACGTCTCAGCATTCCAATTAATTCCAAAATAATTAAAATAAAAGCGTACCCATATTACAAAGGTCAGACATAAAATGGAATGACTGAAATTGAAAAAAAAAATCTGTTAAATTAATATGAACAGGAAGATATTTTTATATTTTGTTTAGTCACTGTCTACTTTGAAAGTTTATTAGTAAAAAGCAAAGACAAGATACGGTTATTTGTGCAGAACATTTCACACGGATGCGATTGAAAGTATTTTACGGAGATCAAATAATACAGAATAGCATCATTATACAGTAAGAAAGACACGTGAACTTAACCCAGAAGGTTACCCGTTGGCTATGGGGATCGAACCAGGAACTTTTGCGGTTTAAGGCGACAGCATAAACCACTGTACCACCATGCCACTGTATTAGAGACTTGTGACATTTAGTCTGTCTGCAATTCTTTGCAAAGTCAAAAAGTGCAGGGTGTATTTATGGCCACAGTATTGCCTTTTTTTAGGGATTACATCTTTGTATTTTTCATACAGCTCCTCATACAGTTTGTTCTGCAGCGGAAAAAAACACCGCTCTCATTTCACAGGCTTTCCGATTCATTTGATCGATCTATTGTTCATCCATTCATTTGGGCTTCTTAAATATCTCGGGTGTGTGCCCTAAGTGAGACTATGCAAGTCTGTCTTGTATAAGCCTTGATTAGTTAAAGCTGAACTGCATTAGTGGAACGACATGAGCCTTAGTTTAGAGATGGCGTTAGTTTGAGTCAGACCTTTTCGGGAAAGTCTGGCTTTCTTTAGCTACTTTCATGGAATACCCCCCAGATTGAAAGTAAAGCTTGGATTTTTTCATTTGACCAGATATCCACTACTATCACTGGCATTATTTTTCACTTTGTCTATCGTTGTTTAATGAGTTCATAACTTTTTTCAAGACAGCGGCCGCCTTGTGTTTCAGAGGCAGGCTATTTGCGTAACCAATCGACAATGAACACGTTTGCCAGTCCCACCCCAAAGCAGCGAAGTACCAAAAAAGTACCCCAGCTGCTTTTGGTACTTTGATACTGATACTTGACCAGAAGTTAATGGAAAGGGGAAATTCAGGACATCGGAGGTACGATGGAACTGCAGTCTAGGATGTGGAGGGTGGGCAACCTAGACCAAATCCTGGAGGGAAAGGAACTTACTTTGCAGAGGTTATGCCGTCTCTGGTCCACCTTGGGGAAAGCGAAGACAGAAATATCAAATTATTACTATTATTATTAACTCAATTTCACCTGCTATCTGTTTATACAGCTAGTTATTCTACTTAAATAATCCTGGTTGTGTTCCGTGCTAAAGGCACAACAGCAAGACTCCATCTGGGAGCCGAACCTGCAGCCTTTAAAAGTCCCCGTTCAACTCCGTCTGCCACCCTTTCTTGAGACCCAGCCCAAGAGCTACTGCCTTTCGTTTTACTTACCTCCTGTTCTGTGGGTCTAAAGAGCAGAATATGACCGTGTTGACTGTGTAATGCCTCCTGAAGAAGAGCCTGGGAGAGGGTGTGCATGGGGGGTAGGGGGGGATGACAGAATGGAGGAGCTGGTCAGTACGAGGATTCAGGCATGTGGAAACGCCATACTGACTGGCTAATGAGTTCAGCCTCATCAGCTAGGGTTAACGACCTCTCGGCTGGAGTTAGAGCAGAAATGTAGGAGGGTGTGGCTGTGGGGCGGAATTGGAGGCGGGGTCACAGTGAACATGTACACTCACTTCCTCTGATTGTCTGTTAGGGTGATGCCTTGAGCGGACACCTTGAAGTGGACCACAGTGGAGGTGGGTGGTGGCTCCATGCTCAGGGTCATGCTAGTGGCCTTCTGGACCGCCTGGTAGCCAGTCAGGGATTCCATCTCCACCGAGCCAAGGAACCACACATTGCAGGCTGGGAGGCAGAGGGAAAAGATTGGATGTGTCTGGGACCAAGGTTGGGGGCTGACACGTGGTCACCAGGAGGCCTCGCCATACCTGCTCCCTGCTTCAGCAGCTCCACCGCAGAGTTTGTGGCCGTCTGTGCAGACGAGTCGCCGATGTCCTCCAGGGGGTCTGAAAAAAAGGATGGGGGAGGGTGGGTGGGTGAGGTCGAGGTGGGGGAGGTTAGAGTGGAGCACGGTTTTCAAGAGCCAGCAGACGCTTCCCGTCCGCCGGGAACCAGAAGAAATAGGGTCTCTGATGGCGGCCATTTAGCAGCTGGTATATTTGTACCCGCCGGCTGAAAAAACCAACATCGATTTAAAAATAAACTGGGCCCTTATTCTTAACAAAAACAAGCCCCGGCACCATGGGATGGAAGGAAAACAAATGGGAGTAAATGACGTCTCTATGCAGGCGGGCCCTGGGGCAACCACCTGTAAATAAGGCCCCCTAAATCTGGTCAGAGGGGTCGTTCTGAGCACGGCGCACAGACACCCCTGTCAGCCCTGTCCCCGGCGCAGCTGCTGTTTTATAGCCTCGCTTCTAACAGGGCCCTGTCTCTTTGGCCACCGGCCGCACAACGTGCGGATTGACGGCCCAGGCCTAGTGATTCACCGAAGCGGAGGGGGGAAGTGCAGGCGGGCGGATAAATCAAGCCACTTATCGGCTGCCGTCCTGCCGTAACAGAGTCGTGGCCTCTTTGTGGGGAGTTGGCAGCTGGAGGGTAGACCTCCCTGCTCCCCCTGTCGACTCTATGGCGCCCCCTAGTGGGCATGTGAATGCCATTCTCGTGTTTGCAGTCAGGCTTAGTCTTAATGGCCCGTGATTACATACTCATCCGCACAAAAACACACACACACAGACCACCTTGTTCAAACGGCAACAGCCAGGCACACAGGCCGACTGCTCCATCAGGCACCTACACAAACGCCCCACTTACTTGCTCTCTCTCTTACACAGACACACACACAGGGTGTCAGTCACCAAGTATCATTTCCATCTCTCCCTTATATATCTCTCTCACACACACACAGACAGCTCAGTTAGAGCATTTCCTCTCTGCTGGACATTCAGAGGTGTTAATTCCAAATCAGTATTTAACCCCGACTCCCTGCCATATGCTGACACACACACACGCAGGGGGCACCTCACCTTTGTCGGGTATGATGAGCCTGCAGGGCAGAGCCAGTGGAGTTATTGAGTGCTGGCACACCAGTGCCGTGAGGCTGCCTGAAATGGAAGCAAAAGCACCGGGTCACACACCACTGCGGGACGGCCACTGCGATACAGTGAATGTCAACGGATATGACAGGAGTTCTGGATTTCTGTGCGGCCCGTTTTACAATTGATTGAAGCCAACCAGGCACAAAGATTTCCATAAACTCTTTACGTTTAAGGTACATTACTTGGTGCCACTTTACAATAAAGCTACCCACATAAAGGGTTTATGAATGGTTTATAATCTGGTTATTAATTAGGTTGTAACACTTTGTAAATTATTAATAGACAATTTTAAACAAGTTATAACATAGTTTTCTTTTTATTAATGAGTTACGATATTCGACTCTACGATGGATAAATGTTTTTCATGGTCAGTACATTATTCCATAAATTATAACAGATATTCAATACTTTATTATAAAATAGGCTTAGTGTCAATGATTTTGCTTACTGTAGGCTAATGTAAGTGTTCTAAGCATGTTTTTAAGGTAGGCTAGGCTAGGCTATGATGTTTCTTAGTCTAGGTGCACTGTATTAAAATGCATTTTTGCCTTGTGATATTTTTGCCTTTCGACAGGTGGTAACCTGGGGAGAGGCTGTTTAGTCAATTACATCACTGAAGAAAGACATGAAGATATCTGCTGATGTATTGAGGGGGGCTTCCTCTACATACATACCTAGAGCAGGAGTGGCTTTGTTGTTTTTGGGGCCACACTCAAATAGTTTCTGTTGGGCTCTCACTCACCCTTGTGTAATGATTGTTTGTGACCAATAGGAGGCTCCACACAGTTACGGGCTTTGCGAGATGGTACTGTAAATGCCACTGCTGCACTAGGATACGTTTGTGTCTGTGAGGTCAGTGTGTGTACACTTGGTCTGATTCACCGGAAATAAAACATTTTCCAGCTGAAACCGAATCTCCTTCAGCTTGAATTGACAGTTGTGCTCCATATTCCTCCCGTCTGGGCACAACAGCATGAGATCGAATGGCCATTTTGGCACCTAAGACACACAAATGATCTCTTCTGCATGTATATAGTAGGTCTTCAGATGCACTTTTTGGTATTTTGATTGTTTAGGTCCTTAGCAGTTTGTTTTAGCAGTAACTAGCTATAGTTTATGAACTTACATTAACTGTAGTGAACAGTAGTAGTAATACAAATAATAATAATAATAATAAATTGTTATTAAATTGTCTGTAGTGCAGTGACTGACTGACTGCAGCAGGCTCTGTCACCCCAATACATCCGATTCAAATACTTAAAGATGACAGGTATCCCCCGCGGTACGGAAGTAGAGTGTTCCTACAAAACTTTTCGTAAGCCGTGTGTCACTACCGAAAATGTTACACCTACCGAAAATGTAACTTCCGCTACTACGCATGCGCACATTCATCACGCATGCGTCCACGAAACCACATTTTCTGGCACTTCTTTATTACGCATGCGTAATGTACACTTCCACAGTAAAATTGATGGCCATACCCTGTCACTACCGGAAATGTTACACCTACCGAAAATGTAACTTCCGCTACTACGCATGCGCACGCTTGCGACTTCTGGAAGGACGAGTGCTATTTTTACGGCATCGCGTCACATTTCATCGTCTGTTGATTTTTGATAAGAATGTCGACAGCGAGAAGAAAGAGAAGATTTAACCGGATAATGATGGAGTCCTTCGACTTTAAAAGATTTTATTTCGCATAGGCCTTTAATGCCCAATGTGCTTCAGAAGGAGCGACGTAAAATACAGGGTATGGCCATCAATTTTACAGTCAAAGGTGACATTACTTTAATGTTACCATTATGTACTACTCCCAGTTCGATGTGCTGTGAAGTTACTTAAACTAAGCCTGCTTTTTTTCTCCTTAGTCATTTAATTTCTTAATTGTATCAGTGTAATTACCACACACTCGTGTCAGTTATGGCAGCTGTGTCTTGTGGTGCTAAATAAAGCAAATTATATTTGTTTCTGACAGACGACCGATTGTTTTATCTTGGGCCAAACCGCACAACATAAACATTGTTTATGTTGTGCAAATAAAAGTTCTTAACTATTATTTTGGTGTGATTTTTTTTTTTTTAAGAAAATGCTGTACATATATCACAGCCCCTTGATAAGCAATATGGGTACACAAGATTGATATACACCCCAATTTTATTACGTTTTCTAAAGAAAAGGCATCTATTCAGCAATACCCTTGGGAAAAACCTTATGTAAGATTACTGTCAGGCACTACAAACAACGCGCACACAGATGCAAATATTACAATCGGCAAAGCAATATGGTTTAAATACCACACTAAAGTGACGGCTGAACAAATATAAACATCAATGACCCATCTCACAATACAGTATGTGACTAATGAATGATGATACACGACGTCCACGCCCTGAATCACGCAATCACGGTCTGCCGCAAAATGTGAATACATGCGCAGTATCGGGCCTGTGGAAGTGTACATTACGCATGCGTAATAAAGAAGTGCCAGAAAATGTGGTTTCATGGACGCATGCGTGATGAATGTGCGCATACGTAGTAGCGGAAGTTACATTTTCGGTAGGTGTAACATTTTCGGTAGTGACAAGCCGAAACGGCATAAAACGAAGACGCAATTTTCGTTCATTTATATGGGAAACATTTCTAAGTGGTCCTACCCCCAAAAATAACCTACCAAATCATACCAAATACGACATAATACTAAAATAACACTGACATACAGTAAAAGCAGTTATGATGTGATAAATACACAACCGATATAAAGTTCCAATAATGTTTCAGTGCAGTTTGACTTACCACAATCAGTAGTCATGCGTCGCTTAATGACAGGCCTACAATACGCTGAGCAATGTGTCATTAGGCGATTTCGCCGTTGTGAGAACATTATAGCGTGTAACCCATGACACACCTAGGCTATACGATTTAGCCTAAACAACGATAAACGAGTACAGTATAGTAAATACATAAACCAGTAGCATAGTTGTTTATTATCAATTAATATGTACCTTACATAACTTTATGTGTTATACTACCATACGACTGCCAGCGCAGTGGTTTTGTTGACTCCAGTATGACTCCAGTGATGCATTACGCCAAGTCAGAGCGAAAGGCGTAAAGCGAACATTCATAAAGCGGAAGATAGGTGTATTTGCTAAGTATAACACGTGACAATTATGAATAAATTACCAGATTCCACCACAAGGTGGAGACATCACACACTTTTTGGTTTCCACATATTACAGAAATATCTATATCCAATTGAGAGCTCTGAGAGGAAGGGAGATGAAAGTTGATTTGTGAGTGCTTTTTGTATGAGTTTTTGGGAATGTGTTAGGGAATTAATACCTTATACCTGAAACACGTGGGGAGTTTAATGCATATTTGGTCAGTATGCAAAAAATGAAAACGAACATATGTTACAGCTGCGATGAGTGAATTGGTCAGTCCTGCTGTACAGATACAGGGCATACAGAGGCATTATGGCGAAAATTGAGTCCTCACCAAAGTAGGGTTCATTGGGACAACCCTTCAAGCGGACCCCCTTCTGCGTGCATTCGATCAGGAAGTGCCTGACCAGCTCATTGGAGAGGTCTCCTACTGCAGAAGAGAGAAAGATGGTGTGAGGAAAAGTGACAGTGCATGTGTGATTAGCAGCAGTAGCATTGCTGCCTTCTTGGATAATTGTGCAAATAAAAGGCGGTCGCTAATCTCAGTGGAATTCCAAATAGGGCAGATTAGGCTGTTTACACAACAGCTTTCCTCCTCCAGCACTAAACTCCCAGGACAGAGGAGCAACCTGTGGAATGGTGAACTCTGGCTGATAGGCACAGTGAATCAAACCCCACATGCAAAGAAGGCAAACTCAGAGAAGATGAGCCAAACCCCAGATAAAAGAGCATTTGGCATGATGCATCTACTCTCAACGGTCACTCCAGCTTCTCTGTAGATCTGATTGACCAAACCAGATAGGCAGATGTACCCATCAACACACGCACAGTCCAAATTCCAAAGCTGTTTGCTTTTTCTGTTCTTGTTTACAGAGAGCTCCCTCCACTTCCTCTTCACTAAGAGGTCAAGGGATCTTATTTACTTTGGTGGAATTCCTCAACAGAGCTGTTAGTGATCATTCTAATAGGGAACCAGTCATATGTGTTCTATCTTTATTTGATCCTGATGTATATTCCAAGAGAACCAATCATGTGTGTTCTCCATTATGTCATTCTTATGTACATTCTAAAACAGAACTGATCACTGTTGCGTGATCCATATAATAATAATAATAATCATCATCATCATCATCATAAATGTTACTTATATAGTGCTTTTACAAAATCTCAAAGATGCTGACATAAAATAAAGAAAAATAAAACAAAAATGTCAAAACATTATGGATTAGGAAGGTTAAATGCTTGCTCAAACATAAAGGCTTTTAGCTTGGTTTTGAGACAGAGACCGATAGACACACTGGGGAGGGAGTCCCAAAGGTGGGGAGCTAAATTAGAAAATGCGCGGTCACCATAGCCATGGAGTTTGGGTGGAGGGATGAGGAGAGAGACAGAAGAGGAGGGTTTAAGAATGCGGGGAGACTGGTAGGGGAGAAGCAGCTCAGAAAGGTATGTTGAGGCTTGGTTATTAAGAGCTTTGAATGCCAGGAGAAGTATTTTAAAGTGAACAAGTTGTTTGATAGGGAGCCAGTGCAGGCTCTGAAGTATGGGAGTGATGTGCTGGTAGGAGGGAATGTGGGTGAGGGGGCAGGCAGCAGAGTTCTGGAATATGTGGAGATTCTGGAGAGATTTAGCAGTAATACCAGTGAGTACTGAGTTGCAGTAGTCAAGACAGGCAGAGATAACGGTGTGAATGAGGGACTCAGCAGCAGAGTTAGAAAGGCATGGCCTAAGTTGGGTGATGGTGCGAAGGGGGAAGTGAGCTATTTTTACTGTGGAACATATATGTGTGTCAAATGAGAGGGTTGGGGTCAAAGGTAATGCCAAGGTTAAGAGAGGGGGAGATGGTGTCAGAAGAGAAAGTGAAATGGGGGTGTGGTCCAATTTGAGGGTTATTGGGCTAATTTTGTTGAGAGTGGATTTTTTCCCAATGACAATTAATTCAGTCTTATCACTGTTAAGTTTTAGAAAATTTTTGCTCATTCATTTTCTGATTTCAGAAAGACAAGATTTGATATGTGCAAATGGCAGGTTGTTTATGGAGCACTACTGACAATTTATTATTATTATTATTATTATTATGTAGATTTGTCTGTCATCGGCATAGTGGTGGAAATTTAGGTTAAAGCAGCAATTGATCTGGCCTCATGGGTGAATGTAAATAATGAAGAGCAGTGGTCCCTGGACAGCGTCCTGGTGGACCCCACGTGTGATAACTGATGTGTCTGATTTATGACCTGTTAGAGTAATGAAATGTTTTCTGTCAGTGAGATACAAAGTAAACCAGTGGAGCACTGCCCCACAAACTACTAGGTTGTGAAGTCTCTGAATCAAAATAGGGTGTGAGACTGTGTCGAAGGTCGCACTTAAATCAGGCAGAAGTAGGGGACTTATGGCACCAGTGTCAATTGCAACAAGTAGATCATTTAAAACTTTAACTAAAGTGCTTTCTGTGCCATGGAATTGGCAGAAACCAGACTGAAGTGGTTCAAGGAGGCTATTTATTTTGAAGATAGGTAAGAGACTGAGAATATACTATACTTTCCAGTGTTTTGGGGAAGAAAGGAAGATTTGAAATCAGATGGTAGTTAGTTGGTTAGCTGGGCCAATGCAAGGTTTTTTAAGGATAGAGGTGACAGCCACTAATTTGAAAGCAGTGAGAACATAGACGTGGGCTAGGGATAGGGATGAAGAGGGTGATGAAGAGGGGACCGATCACCAGGAGTCATTTCTTAGTGGTGTAGGAAGAGGGCCAAGTGAGCAAGTGACAGAATTAGCAGCACTGATTATGTCACAAACCTCAGAAACACTGATGGAAGAGAAGGTATTTAGACAGCTAGGTGGAGCTGGAACACTGGGAAAAAACAAAAATACTAAATCATCATATGAGTGGTTTATGTCCAGAGTGGCATAGATAGCAGAGTTCTGGGGTTACAGAGTTCTGGGGTAGCAGAAATATTGTAATCAGGGGCTTTGAATTGTCTGTTGGCATTAGAAAACAGATGACGTGGGTTTCTATAATTGCTATTTATGAGATTGGAGTAGTAGACAGATTTAGCAGTGTGTAAGGCATCCTTATAGCAAGCCACGTGTTCTGTGTAGGCCTCAACATGCACAATAAGGTGGGCTGCTCAAGTCTATGGTCTTTCTGTTTCATGGAGCAAGGTTCGGGAGTACACCATGGGGCAGGGCTAGCAAAAGACACATATTTGGTTTTCAAGGCTACAACAGAATCTAATGAGTCAGATAACACTGTGTTGAGAATGGAGGCAAGTTCATCAGGGGAGAAAGGGGTACAGTTCATGGACAAAGCTGCAGAAATAACTTGGAACGGGATTGAGGAGTCAACAGAGTATATGTTACGAAATGAGATATGCCATTTATCAGACTCACAAGCAAAGAAAACCAACTGATCATGTGATCAAAGAGTGGGAAAAGAGGAGTGAATGTTGGAAACAGACAAACCAGAGGAACACACTAAGTCAAGTGTGTGGCCTTAACAGTGAGAAGGGAAAGACACATGCTGTGCAATGTGGTGGCAGCCAAGGAGGGAAAGGAAATCAGTCTTGCAGTTAGGTTGATCAACATGAATATTAGCATCACCACAAAACAGCAGACACAAGGAGAGAGAGAGAGAGTGAGAGAGAGAGAGAGAGAGAGAGAGAGAGAGAGAGAGGTGGCAAGTAGTTCAGGAAGAGGCCCAGTTATGTACATTCTAAAACAGAACTGATCATATGTGCTCTCTGTTGTGTGATCTTTATGTACATTGTAGAACAGATATGATGATACAGTGGTATCTCAGAACTCGAACTTAATCCGTTCAGAACTCCAGATCGAATCCTAAAAAATTCAGGTTCTGATCGAATTTTCCCCATAAGAAATAATAGAAAACCAATTAATTGGTCCCCGGCCCCAAAAAATTACACCTAAATATGTTTCTTTTTTTAGCATTTAAACACAAAATCAACTGGATAAAACAAGAAGAGCATATACTGTATTAAACACATCTAAGCACATTTGTCAAAACAGTAATTTGTAAAGTAAGAAAATAAATGTATCCAAACAATGTGTCCTGCCTCGATCGTCCGCTCCTTCCGTGTGCCACACCCCCTCGTTAACCCCGTGTGGAATCCCCGTGTGATCAGCTGTTTCTGGTTGTTTTCATTTGCCCTCTGTATTTCGTCCGCGTTTTAGTTTGTTTCCCCAGCCCGGTCATTGTATTGTCCATCTGCGTTTTGCCTGCCTTACCTGTAATTAAACCCCATATTCCCTGATACCCTGACGTCTGCGCCTTTGTCTCCATTCCGTCCCGCTGGGCACGACAATATTATTATAATTAAATGTATTCATGGTTTATTATTAATATTAAAATAATTAATAAGAAATCTTTATTTTTAAATGTATTTTATTATATAATAATATTTACTGTTACTGTCTATCATTGTCTAAATGTATTTTTACTGTCTAAATATATGTATTCAGTTAGTGTAAACATGCAGGATGCTATCACAGTGAATGCGAGGCTGAGACTGAAGCTTTACCCTTTGTTTCCGCTGAGAGACGTGCCGCGTGACTCATTTCCCCGCGCATACAAGTTATCTTAGGTCGGCGTTCACCTTTCGACTTCTGAGATTCAAATCGAGCTCTAGGTAATTTTTTTTCGAACTGGTTGGTTTGACTTTTAAGAAATTCGAGTTCTAATGAGTTTGAGAACTGAGGTGCCACTGTATATGCTCTCGGTTATGTATCCTTATGTACATTCTAGAGCTGAACTAATCGTTGTTTACATACTGCCCCCTGGAGGGATGACTAGCACAAACGAGTGCGAGTAAAAGGAAAGAGGGCCTTGCTCTCCCCACATGGACGCCTCCTTCTCTCTCACTGTTCCTACAAAGCGAGTTCAAAACTGGCTTTAAGCCCCAGGTTTTGATAAGAGGCGGCTCCCCTGACAGCTAACAATGCTTCTCAGGGTCTCCGGCCTCCTAGATGCAAAGCGTGTCCCTCCCTTCCTTCCTCTTAGGGAGAAGGAGTCGGAGTGTCTGCTCAGCATGGAGAAGACACTAAAGCCCCTGCAGTATTATCACTGACCATGGGGTGATTAGCATGGCTAAACACTGATATTATCAGTGCAAACCAAATGACCGAAGCATCACTGGGAATGCCAGTGGTGAATGCTGATTGATTCAGGGATGATCACCACACTCCAGGACTCACCAGAAACCCAGCAGAAGAATGTAAAATTACACTCATATAGTAACAGGCCAGGCAGGCGCCGTAAGGGGGGGGGGGGGGATTTAGGACGATTCCATGGGCCCTGCAGTGACAGGGGCCCTAAAAAATTTGGAAAATAACCTGATTGGTGTGGACTGGGGGGGCTCAAAATCTTTAGCAATGCCCCTGACAGTCAGTATAAATAAATCTTCATAAAACTCCTATATAGCCTGTCAGTAATCCCTTAGAGGACCAAGTACAACACAGACATAGGCAGGGAGAGAGTGTGTCACTATACACACACACTGCACAGGTAAATTCCAATCAAGGAATCACAAGGGAGACATCTGTGTATATGGGGGGAGGAGGGGAGGTGAGCCTTAAAGCCACCCTAACCCCCACCCCCCCACCTCCAAAAAAAAAAAGAAAAACTGTTGGAAAAAAATATTTCTGAAGAGTTTCATAGGCGTCACGACAAAGCAATTTCTCCATAAGCTCAAAACCTCAAAAGCGTTTAGAAATGCATTGCTGGTACCCCCATCCCTCCAGATGATGACATTGAGGACATCTACCTTTCTTGCTCTGCTGGAGGACAGAGGGTGGGGGTGTGGCCACCTTCATGGCCAGGCCGTATGCCCCCCGGAAGGAGTGGCTGTCACGGACAATGAAGGATCCGGGATCCTTGTCTTTCAGGACTGTGATGGCTGTGTGATTGGGGAAGACAGAAAGTTAAAAACTGTAAGAAATGTAACTCAAAAGAGTACAACACCCCCCCCCCCCTGTCCCAGTCCATGCTGGTGTGACTTGGGCCAAACAAAAATGATTAGATCCCCAAGTCTTACAGTCAGCAAACAAACAGCACATGGCATTGGAGTTAATTGCACAGCCGTGGATAATGCAGAGGTCTCAATGGAACAGTACATCCTTCTGGCGGTGCTACATCCCATGAAAACAAATGTG